TTTTGGTGGTACCAGGGATTGAACGCAGGACCTTGTGTTTGTCAGGCAAGCACTTATTCTACTGAGCTATCTCCTTGGCCCCAACAAAAATAATATAAAACTAGTGAAGTCAAATTTCTTTTTGCTTTTTTTTTTGGGGGGGGGTACCAGGAATTGAACTCAGGGCCTCATGCTTGCAGGGCAGGCACTGTACTGCTGAGCTGTATCTTTGGCCCCGGAGTCAGGTTTTAATATCCAGATCCTGTGTCCTTATTTTTCATTTTTATTGAAAAGAAAATAGGGTACAAAAAAAGCACACATTAACAAGGTAGGCTCTCTTCTGCCGATCCCTGTGCCTCTTCCCGGAGGTGAGCCCACCACCGCCATTCCCTCTGCCTGTGTTAGCGATCCAATCCATGGCCTTGGGCATGCTAAGCACATGCTCTGCTACTGAAGTATACCCCCAGCCCCCTTTTGGATCTGTTTGTTTTCTATTTTGCTTTTTTCGAGACTGTGTATCACTACTTAGTTCAAGCTGGCCTTGACCTGGTGACAACCCTCTTGCCTCAGCCTCTTCAGAGTGCTGAGATTATAGGGATGTGCCAGCAGCTCTGTATCTGTGATGGACAGTATTTAATGAATGTATTAGCCTATTAAAAATAAATAGGGTTACATTTATGCAAACTAATGACTAGGTGAAGATTTATTTATTTAATATTTTTTGAGGCAGGGCCTCACTATGCAGTCTGTGGTGACCTTTAACTCACTACATAGCCTAGGATGGCCCCAACTCAGTGATCCTTGTCCCTCAGCTTCCTGAGTGCTGACATTACAGGTGTGTGCCACCATGCCTGGCCCTCCAGGCAAAGATTTCTGTTAAAGCCATTTAATGGTCAAAGATCTAGAACCTGCTCTTAAAAGACTTATAGTCAGACAAGAGAGGAAGGATACGCACAGAAATAAAGGCAACACAGGCTATAGCTAAAAAAGAGTGATGAGTGGTTAGAGGAAAGGGAAGTTCCATCTTAGGACCTTAGGGAACTGGGGCTTTGTTTGTTTGGGTTTTGGGTTTTTTGTTTTTTTGCTTTGTTTTTTTGTGACGGGGTCTGACAATGTAGTTCAGACTGGCTTTGAACTCACAGAGATCCTCTTGTCTCAGCCTCCCAAGTCTGGGATTACAGGTGTGTGCCACCAAGCCAGGCTTAGGAACTTTAGGGAACTGGAGATGCAAATTGGGAAGGATGAGAAAGAGTTAACTGGTGAAAGTCTGGCCAAGGGTTCCGGAGCATTACAAGCGCACGAAGCATGCAGAGCTGAACGTCTTGGACTTGCTGTGGGAGTAGAGCAAGGGCCTTCCCATCTTGTCATCATCCAGATCAGCGCAGGTGTTGGGGAGGGGAAAAGACTCCTCAGTACAAGCCCCAGGCCCTGCCTCGGCTGGCCTCCCACAGGTCGCCTGTGCGCCTGCCTGAGCCTTTTTTTCTTTTTCTGAGCAAATTTCTTTTTGTGCAGGGTGGGCACCTCACCCTGGGAAACTATTGTTTTCTCTTCATCCTTCTGCTCCTCCAATCTGCCTAAAATTCCACTTTTTCAGGGTTCCTTCCCCAGCTCCCATCTAGCTAGGCCTTCCTACACTTCCTGAGTTCTGTTTGTGCCTCAGTGACAGTTAAGCTAGACCATGGTCGAGCTGGCTGCTTGGGAACTGCCTAGGGGTTCAACAGAGTACTCCGCTGAGTGTCTGCGAGCGCTGCTTTGGGCACCCAGCCAGCCCCTCATCCCCACCCCTCGGGCACTGTCCCCTGCTCTGTTCACCGCGCTGCCATGCAGGGAGCAGCTCTGCTCCACCACACCCTTCGGCCATGACGTTCCTGCCTCCAAGCCCAAGGGCACCAACTGCAGCCTCTCTTCCTTTAGCTGTGGGTGCTGGGTGTCCTGTCCTAGCAACAGGAAAGCGGCCAGTACCAGATCCTACCACAGCTGTAATTGAAACATTTATGGTATAAAATAAATACATTGTTCCGGGGGGCTGGATATTGTGTAATTTTAAAATGTCTTCCTCAGTAGGGAGATCCTTTTCAAATGGGAAAGGGAATAAGAGATGGAGAGAAGTGGGAGAGAAGGAAAAGGAAGGGGACTTAAAACAAAGAATTGAGGGGAGAAAAAAATGGAAACAGAACTTTTGCAAATGGGAAAGAAAATAAGAGAATGAACAGTTGGGAGGGGTAGAGGAAGAAAAAGGAATTAAGATGTGATACGCAATGTACTAACTCCTCATAATATGTTTTTATTTTTTTGAGGCACGGTCTCACTATGTATTGTAGGCTGGCTGTAAGCTTGCTTATGTTGGCCTCAAACTCAGAGATCTTTCTGCCTCAGCCTCCTGAGTGCTGGAATTTTTTTTTTTTTTTTTCTGGTGGTACCAGGGATTGAACTCAGGACCTTGCACTTGCCAGGTAAACGCTTATTCTACTGAGC